CACAACTCCCCCGCCGCCGGCCCTCCCCCGCCGCCCAGGGGGAAGAGAAGCGCCGGCCCTCTAGGCCTCCTTCTCGGGGCAGATCCGCCGTCGCGCCGCGGATGCCGGTTCTCCCCCTTTCCCCCAGCTGGCAGCTTCCCCCGCCACCGGCGTCGCTTCCCCTCCCCCTCCCTTCCGGCGGCGCTTCCCCCTCCTCCTTCTCGTGTAGTGGTGTTGGCTTCCCCTCCTCTCCCGCCTCTCCCCCTCCCCCCAGTCGCCCGCCTCCCCCGCCACCAGTCGTTGCCCGCGGTAGGGCAGGTATGCCGCCGCCTCGCCTCGGCCGCGAGATCGCCGGTCGCTACCGCCGCCGCCGCCGCCACTCGCCGACTCGCGGTGGGAGAGGGAGGAGAATGAGTTGGGGAGGGGGCGGGGGGGAGGGGTGGGGAGGGTTAGGGTTTTGATAAGGCCGTGGGCCGACCGGAAGGGACGGAAATAAGTCTATTTTAGGTCCCTCAGGCCAGAAATAAGTCTGTATTAGGTCCCTCAGGCCGAAAAAAAAAAGAGAAGTTAGTGCTTCATTTTTTCAGAAGCATTTATAATTATAGTTATTAAATGTGTTTATTTCTAAGCAAACCTAAAAGGAAGGATTTTCTTTCTTTTTCCAATTAAATAATTATTAAATGATATTTGTATTATTAAAATTAGCAATTAAGTTCTGAAAATTCCAATAAAATTCCAAAGAGCGTAACTAATCATGGAGAATTTAATAAAATTAAATTTAACAATGTCATTTTATTTCTCGCACTTGCTTTACTTGTAAATTTATTTAATTATACACATACCTACTTAAAAATACTAAATATTTCAGCGAATTTGTATTTTAATTAATTTGCATATTTTTACTGATCTGTGCGCTTCCCAGTGCAACGCACGGGCACTTTTGCTAAACTAAACAACAATTTTGGTCAATATACACACTCCGTAATCACCCGGTGCAACGCACGGGCACTTTTGCTAGTGTATATATATATATATATATATATATATATATATATATATATATATATAGTGAATCTATTGTACACCCCTCCCCTAGAATAACTATTGTAAACCCCCCTCCCATGGGCCAATCCCACCTTCCCCACCCTCCCTAGGGCCCAAAACCCCTTTCCCACCTTGGTCAAAGTGTCCTCCCGCCGGTCAAACCCGCCCACCACTCCCTCCCCTACCCACCACTTTGCTGCTCTCGTCTTGCAGGAATCGTGCAGTAACAGGACGGTCATCTTGCAGTAACAAGACAACATTATCGCAGTAACAACGTCAAAAAGTAGCCATGATGGATCTAGTTTCGTTAAGCGTTTTTTTATGAACTTCATGGTGCAAACGGATTGGAAATACAAGATATGATGTGAGAGATATTGCTCTCTAAAGATTGAGATTTATCTCTTTTTTAGTCCTCGTCTCACTGGAACAGCGTATTAACACGACGGCTAATATGCAGTAACACGTCTGTTTTTCGCAGTAACAACGTTAAAAAGTAGTTATTATGGTTCTAGTTTCGTTAAGAACTTTTTTTTTATGAACGCCATGATGCAAATGAGTTAGAAAAATAAGACATGACATGTACGTTAGTACTCTCTAAAGATTGATATTTAAAATACTCTAGATCTAAAAAACATTACTACTATAGGGCCACTGTTACTATGCATGTTCTCTGTTACTGCTGAAAGTGCAGTAACAACCTATAAAGTTTACAGTAACAACCTATACATTTTTGCAGTAACATATGATGTTACTACCCTTCTGCGATAATGTTACTGTCGAATCATAGTAACAAGGTATGATTATTACAGGTACATAATTGATTTGTTAACAAATCATCATATGGTGATTTGGTTAGAAGTGCTCGCCATGAACCATGAGATCATGGGTTCAAGTCTTGAATTCACCAATTTATTTTTAATTTTTTTAAAAAAGAGAAGAAGGAGGGAGAGAAAAAAAAAGAAGAAAAGGAGAGAGGAGCGACGGGAGGAGGGAGAGGGGGCGTGGGAGGACGGAGGGAGAAAGAAGAGCGATGGGAGGGGAGGAGGGAGAGAGAGGAAGAGTGATGGGAGGGGAGGAGCGATGGGAGGAGGGAGAGGGGACGCGGGAGGACGGGAGGGAGAGAGGAAGAGGGGGCGTGGGAGGGAGGGAGGTGGGGACGGATGGGAGGTGGGAGGGGGTACACTAGAAACAATACCACGCGTTGCAACGGGTAAATACCATTTTAATTTTGCTGTTGTTATATGGTTTAGCTAGGGGGAATTCGCTTGGATATTTTTTTTAAGAAAATCATAGGCTTCAATTAGAAGTCTATATTTCATCTCAAGTTAGCATGCGAGTTTATTTAAAAAGATTTCTTATACGACTCTTTTGTATTTCCAAAAAACAAATGAACTTAAAATCCAACTCAAACACGGATCTATATTTCTAAAAGCGAACGAACTTAAAAACCGACTCAAACACGGATGACATACTCAAACACAGATCTATATTTCTTTAATTTTTATAATAGCAGAGATATAGACCTATTTAATATCATCATAAAATTAAGGATGCTACTCCTTAATTAATAGCAAGCCAATGAAGCACATAAAACAACGTTGTATTTTCTTGTCCAATCCAAGCCAAATGGACAATAAATCCAGATCTCTATGATACAAGACTCTCAAATGTATACGTACATTAATTGTCAACATCTATTTCTGGTGGAAAACCATGCATGCATATGGCCAGGTCTTTTTTTAGGTGCAAAGATGATCCTTGCTCATGGCTTCGAAAGCTGCCATGCCTGTTCATTTACGTGCTAGTGACAGAATCTGATCGATTGGCCAACCAGCAAACAAGTGATATCCAGGCCTCTGCATATCCCCTTTTCCAATGTCAAATAACATAATTTTCATCATCGGTTGCATATATAATCTATTCTGACGCAACACTATTTGCTTCCAGCGACGGATCTAAACAAACTAAACAAAGCTATAGCTCTCTTTAAATCTGCATAGAGCAAACAATTTTAGCGAGGGCTTCGTGCGGGCTCCATGGTCCTCACGCCAATAGTGAGGGCTTGAGACCCCGCCACCCCCATGCTAGATCGATCGGCCCCTGTTTGCTTCATAAATGTATATACTTTATTTTCTCAACTTTGAAACTCAAATCGAAACCTTGTATCACTAACCGAAAACATCTTGCTCTTCCAATGCTAAATATCGATCGTATCTGCTAGTTTCATCATCGGTGACATAATATATTCTAACATGAAACACTCCCTGCATCACTACGCGAAAACAGTTTTGCTCATGGCGGGAAAACATCGGGATTAAGTGAAAAAACATCACGAGTACAATAGACAATGTCACGATAGGTTTAATAGAAAGATCGTGTTATGAGTAAGACTACTATATATACACATCTTTTGTGTGCAATAGTTACCTCGTCATATATATATATATATATATATATATATATATATATATATATATATATATATATATATATATATATATATAGGACACTCATATGGGGCACCATGGTGCCCGGGCACCATGGTATCTAATGTATAAAATCACTCAAAATTTTCAAAATTTCAAATTGTGAGTATATACCTAGTTATAATAATTCGATTCATACCTATACCTATCAACAAAACAACTCAAATTTAACTTTATTTCACAATCCATGATTACATACCTAACTAATTATATGTATGGATGCTATATACCTAGAATCAAAATCTAACAAAAACAAGTTCAAATTCAGTTCAAACTTGCTTTGAATTAGTTAGTAAAGTAGTTAATGTTAATACCTAAGTAATTGAAAAAGATTCATACTCATTTGAATTGGGTATATACTCAATTTCAACAATGGTGCCCGGGCACCATGGAGCACCAAACAAATTTACTATATATATATATATATATATATATATATATATTTAATATCATCATAAAATTAAAGTTGCGACTGCTCAATTAATAGCAAGCCAATGAAGAACATAAAATGTTGTATTTTCTTCTCCAATCCAAGCCAAATAAAAAATATTACAGGGCAAATGGACAATTAACAAATCCAGATCTCTATAATACGAAACTCTCAAATGTATACGTACATTAACTGTCAACATCTATTTCGCTGGTGGAAAACCATGCAAGCAGATGGCCAGGTCATTCTTTTTGGGTGCAAAGAGGATCGTTGCTCATGGCTGCGAAAACCTCCCATGCTTGTTCATTTACGTGCTAGTGACAGAATCAGAATTGTTAACCAGCGAACAAGTGATATCCGGCCCTTCGCATCTCACTTTTCCAATGTCAAATAACGTATTTATATTCATCATTGGTTGCATAATATATTCTAATGCAACACTGCTTGCTTCTTCATTACAAGAAAATGGGTTTTCCTGACGGCGTAGAACCATCTGGATTAAGTGAAAATAATCAATCAGGGGTATCTACCAATTATTTAGCCAAGCTCCCGTGTCGAACCTAGGGCTGCGGCGACATGGGAGGCAATCCCTGCCGTTGCACCCCTGCCACCACACCACTACCACCGCCTCTAGGGTTCATGCGAGATGTCAAGGATTTCGGGACGACAACACGATGCTGCGACGGGGAAGGCGGTGGCTCACTAGTGAAAGTCGGGGCAGTGATAGATGTGTAGCCAGCTCGAGCACATCCAAGCGACACGGGAGTTGTTCTGGCGGACAGAACCTGACCGGCAGTGCCGGAAGGCAGGTAGAGTGTTGCAGCAGGCGTCTGTGGCTTCTCCCGCGGCCTGGACAACCTGTGGCTAGGCCTCCCCGATGGTGCTTGGCAAGGCCTCCCTCGACGGCGCAGCACGGAAGGCAGGAGGCGCAAAGGGCAGTCCAAAGTTGGAGGCAGCGGTGCCGACTTGTTAGGTTGTAGGGGCTAGCCAGGAGACAGCACTTGGACGACAGCCGGCTAGCTAGGTAGGTCTTGCGGTGATCGGTCATGCTTAGCAGTGGCCGGTTTTGTACAAGTGCCTATTCATTTGTTTTTGACATCGTGTGAGAAGCTAGTAGCAAGGAAAGGTGGTGTGTGTTTGTTTGTCTCTTTCAGGATTATAATCTTATAATTTTTTCTGGTATAACAATATGAAACTTCGCACTGTCTTGCACGGATCACTTAAAAAAATAATAATGAGAAGTACACTACTATGACGGCCAGTCACAAAAACTCTAGCAGGAATAGGGTGTTAGGAACAAGACTACTAGCTATATAATGACTTGTATATATCTACTTATTTTTTCGCAATAGCTAGCTGGCCACTTATACATTTTTTATATCAATACATAAGGATGCCAACTCAGTGGTACAGTACCAACACTTTATTTTCTGATTATCAAATACCGGAAGTATGACGGTTGAGCTGCAGGCCTTTAATTATTTTAGTCCTACTGGGTGACAAGGAGGTGTAAGCTAGGATCTAATATGATCGCTAAGGATCACCTGCACCCACAACCTCCCTTGAGGCTATATAAACGCAAGACCTCCATCACCTCTCATCAAATCCCACACACCATCGATAAGCATGCATCTTTTCATTGTGGTGTTGCTCGCTGCAAGGGTTGCCCATGGCAACCCCAGCACCGGCGCTAGTCCGGCAATCTGTTTCTGGAAGAAAGCACTCCCTGACTCCTCTTTGCCAGAAGCCCTCATGGCAGCTGTTGAGAGAGGTGCTCATGCACCTCAGATGGGGATACGCCAAGCATCCTTATTTTATAGCTGCCATAGCAATTCCCTGATAAGGATGCTTGGCGTATCCCCATCTGCTGGCAGCTATAAAATTTATAGCTGCCATAGCAATTCCCTGATAAGGATGCTTGGCGTATCCCCATCTGAGGTGCATGAGCACCTCTCTCAACAGTTGCCATGAAGGCTTCTGGCAAAGAGGAGTCAGGGAGTGGTGTGGCCACCTAGCCGCATAGGCTTCTTCTCCGAAGAAGGAGCTCTCCGCATTGGCAATTCCATGACTATCTCCTCCCCGGCGGCACCATCGTTTCACGCAAGGTTGGCTAGCCCATTACGATCCAACACAACTACCTCCTGTTCCTCATGGTGAAACACCCAACGATGGTTCCTGGCATCGACCTTCACAAGTATATTACAGGCGAACTTACAAGACATTGTCGAACCATGCGGGCGATGCCAATGGCTATCCTGGTAGACTAGACGAAATCCTGGCTTAGAAGGGGAGCGTAAAGCCGGTCTTTAAGCAAAATTATGTAAAGCGAGCCCTTGGAAATGCCATGCGGCTTGCAACCAACACTAATGGTGAAGGGAAGGCTCCCGTGTGCATGCGAATACCGGGTGTCACACTGTAATTTACCGTGCGTAGAGCAATAAACTCGGGAATCATCAAGCGCATACCGTGTCTTAGAGAGGACTCACGGTTACACCGAAATCCACCTACGTTCTGTCTGTGCGCGTCGAACTCTGTTGCCACGAATATTATTTTTCTCATTGGCACGAACGGATATCTTTGAGGCACGTCCAGCTCAATTTGGCGCATCCCATTTTACCGTTGGCGCGAAATAGAATGAGTGTTCCCGTGTTTATTTTTTTCATTCAACGCACGGGAGGTGAATGTTGGCTTAAAAAAACAACGTAATTGCAATGGATAAAAAAAACGTAATTGCCCATCTTCTTCTTTCTCCCCTTCTTCTCCCTTCTTCCTGTTCGATGGCAACTGTGGAGCAGCAGCGCGGCAGCGGGCGGCGGCAGAAGCGGCACAGCGGCAGCGGCGGCGGCGGCGAGCGGCAGCAGGCAGCAGCGGCGAAGCGAGCGGCTCGGTGGCAAGCGGCGGAGCGAGCGGCTTGGTGGCAAGTGGCGGCGGTAGCAGCAGCGAGCGGCGGAGCAAGAAGCAACGGGAAGAGAGAGAGGGACAAGATAGAGAAGAGAGGTAGAAGATGAGGGTATTTTTGTTCAATACATGTAAAATACGTATCTTAGTGGCACCACTCAAATTAAAAAAAAGCAGCAGTGGCATCGTTACAAATACGCAAATAGTAGTGGTATATTTCAAAACCAAAAAAAATTTAATGGCATAGATCTAATTAACCTAATTTATAACGGCTCCCTATTTCAGATTTCTACAAAATTATACTTCCTCATTCCATAATATAAGCCACAACCACTTTTTCTAAATGTTCCATAGTATAAGGCATGCATGCAAGCATGCAATTAACTATGACATTTTCTCCATTAAATTATTACTTTTTTAAAATCCTCCACTCTCATGTTATTTAATTCTATTGGACGCATGCATTATATTTAGTAGGATGATCCAAACTACAAGATGATAATAATTATTTTTTTGTCTTTGGGTTAAGGGTGGTTGTGCCTCATATTTTGGAATGGAGGGAGTAAAATATGTTCAGATTTCTTCTTTTTTTGTGTATGTGGAAAGTTCAGTTCTATTTCTTGACCCCCTTGTAATGTTTTCAATTTTTTTTTAATACTGAATACAGCCTGGGGTCAATTAAGATGACATAACTTAAAATACTACGAGATAATTAATAAAACAATGTATATGAAATCAATAACAATATTTTCTTATACTTGTGTTTTCTCTGCTATTAGGCCATCTTATGAAGATGGCATCTTTCAATGGAAATTACTCCCTCCGTTTTAGGTTATAGGACGTTTTGATTTTGGTCAAAGTCAAACTACTTTAAGTTTGGCCAAGACAAATTTATTATGAAAATATATTCAATTATTGATTTGATGAAACTAATTTAGTATTATGAATATTACTATATTTATATATAAACTTAATCAACTTGAAACAGTTTGATTTTGACCAAAGTCAAACTATCTTATAACCTGAACCGGAAGGAGTAACTACCTACATTCATTTGGAGCATGTGGAAGAGCTATAGCACTTTTAGTAAATCCAGATGTAGCAGAAGCAACTGGGGATCTATCCCATTCCCTGGAATGGTAGTGATGCTCATGTGGTGCTCAGATATAGTTGTACAAAACAATTATAGATGAGAGTGCGTTACCTTTAATTAATTCCCATAGTTTATTTCTATTACATGGCTACAAATTAAAGCACATGCATGCAGTGCGTACCTAGCTAGTATATCCTTGTAACTTAGAATAAGGCGGATGATTGAAAAGGTTTGATCACGCTGGCATCCACTATGGCATGCATTAAACCTTTGTGCTAATAATATAGTAGAAATGCAGAGTGCATGCCACAGATGCATAAATCCTAGATGGGCGCAAGTTCTACGTCAAACAGGTTTAGAATAGAATCAAAGAATATTTCAAGAAAAAAAAATCACCCGCGTGCAAATATTCTTAACAAAAATTCAAACAACATTATATTAAAAGCCCATGCATGTGCGCGGGCTATCTTTCTAGTTATAAAAATGCTCATTTTTTGAGACGGATGGAGTATATGATATAACGTTAATTCTAATACTACTAGACCTGTTCAGATCCATAATAATAGAGTGTATCACGTTTTGTACCAAGTTAACTAATTTTAGGACAGGAGAGTAGGTGGGATTCCATCTGTCTATGGTTATAAAAGTACGTACCCTCGGCCAAGCCGCCATAGCTAATTAGACCATCAATCACATTAATGCCGAATTCGTACTCTTGTTGCTAGCTGTAGCAATGTCGCAGCTCCTCCGCCCTGGCTACCTCGGCCTCCTCCTCTTCTTACTCTCCATGCTGCTTGATGCTTCTGATCACCTCATCGCTGGAGCAGCAGCAGCGCCACCTGTGTTCAGCTTCAACTTCTCAGCCGACCACCCATCCACGTACCGCCAAGATCTCGTATTCCAGGACGACGCGATCGAGCCGCAGAAAGCTGGGGCGCCGGTAGAACTCACCTGCACCTGGAACGACCAGGTTTGCAGGCGCGGTGGCCGGATGTCGTATGCTCATCCGGTGCAGCTTTACCAATTAGCAGCCAACGGCCGCATTAGCAAGGTGGCCAGCTTCTCCACGAGCTTCACCTTCGCCATCAGGCCCATCGAAGGCAACGGTACATGCAGAGGTGATGGCATGGCTTTCTTCCTCGCCAGTTTCCCTTCTAAAGTGCCGTACAGGTCGGCCGGGGGCAACCTCGGACTCATCACTGATAAGACGACCACTAGCAATATCGCCCCGGATGATCGGTTCATCGCCGTCGAGTTCGACATCGGCATCGGATTTGACAATGACCCGAAGGAAAAGACCGACCACATCGCCATCGACATCAACTCTGTCAAGGATTCTGCCATTACCACATACTTGCCAAAGAACGTAACCCTTAATGGGACAATGATAGCCGACATCGTCTTCAACAGCAGCACAGGGATGCTGGTCGCCTACCTTCGGTTTCTTGACCATCCATCATCCGCGGCCCACGCTCAGGTGGTGAGTGCAAACCTGACAGAACATCTCAAGGGCACACCTCCGCCCGGCCCGCAGGTTGCTGTGGGGTTTTCTGCAGCCACCGCCGGATGCGTGGAGATCTGCCAGATACTGTCCTGGTCTTTCAATTCAAGCCTTCCGCTAATACACCAAGGTACGTGATAATTCTCCCTCCGTATTTTAATGTATGACGCCGTTGACTTTTCGACCAACGTTTGACCATTCGTTTTATTCAAAATTTTTGTGCAAATATGAAAATATTTATGTCATGCTTAAAGAACATTTGACGACGAATCAAGTTATAATAAAATAAATGATAATTACATAAATTTTTTGAATAAGACGAATGATCAAACGTTGGATAAAAAACCAACGGCGTCATACATTAAAATATGGAGGTAGTAATATATAGGCTCAATTTCTTGTCGAGAGAATTCCATGGGTAACAGATATTTCACCTCAATCCAAGAACACAAAAAATATGACATGATGACATTAATCTTGGACTAGCCGCAAGCATCCTCGTTTGGTTCTTCATCGTGCTCAGGGTTCATAATTCCGATATTGAATCAAAAACCACTCACGAACGAATTTCACGGAAACCGCTGATAAACCGACGAAATCCTGACTAATATTACGAAAATTCTAAATTCAGCCCCTTTTTTTTTTGACTTGACAACAAATCGATTGTTTTTTGTTTTTTCGTTCTAGTCCAGGTTTCCACCAGGTCTTCTTTTAGAACTACATTTTATTGATCGTAAATAATTAGATACATATCAAGTACAAGTACAGGCAGTTTTGCAATGAGGCTCCTTTAAGATGGCTAAATTTCTTGGAAGGACTTACAAAATAGAAAAAGCAACTAAGCCTATTCTCCACCAGATTACATCCATGCTAGATCCATGGAGACTTCTATGGCGACTATTAAGCAGCTTATAATTTCTGCATGAAGAGATGTCAACCGAGCCCAGCGCCACTGCATGGTTGCCCGGCCATGAGGCCTCGGATAGCTACTGGACTTGTACACAGGGTTTGAAATTTCTGTAATTTCCGAAATTTCGGTAATTTCGGCCCCCCCCCCCCCCCAAAAAATGCTCACATCTCGCCCGAAACTTTCGGTTTTTTGCATTTTTTTGTGAATTTTATCAAATCTTATTCAAATTCATTTAAAACCAGTCAAAATTTCAAAAAATTTTGGACGAAAAAAATCCGAAATTTTCGAAATTTCGGTTCTTTTGCCCCCCCCCCCTCTCCCCTCCCCTCGGCAGAAAAGCTGATTTCAAAATTTCAAATCCTGCTTGTACCAGCATGCCGCTATTGTCGTGCGTGTGACCACTATTAAGCAGCATGCCGACCGTGAGCTCCACGCACGCCCAACCACGGAGTCGCCCAGATCAACAGTGAGATGGTGGTTGTATATGGGGGTGCATCGGCCTATCATAGAGAGGCGCGCGCAGTACTGTAGATAAAATGGAATTGTCCTTTTTTTTAATCTCAATGAGTGAATTGAGTTTAGGCTTAAAATGACCATGAATGAATGTTGCCAAATTGTTTTGGAATTTTTTATAATGATGTTGGAACGGTTTTTGATCCCGCGACAGAATATTCACTCGAGGACCAAAATACTTTCTCCATTCTGGGATAAGAAAGACAAATAGGAACATGAGGTAAGGGCAAATGAGGAATTCAGAGAAAAAATACACAGTTTTGTGGTATTGATGAGAAGTCCTAGTTCTTTTTGGGGAAACAATTAATTGGTACTCTAAGTTATTGGTGGTTTTAGTTGATTTAGATGGGATCCTTGTGCTATATAGCTAGAATTTTTTTCTCCTTTTTTTTCAATGTGCATTTTCTTATCTCTTACTCTTTTTCTGCTTCCCCTTTATTTCCTATTTTTGAATTAATGTTTATTTCTTATCCACATTTTTGTTCAATGAAAATTTTGAAAATTGCACTAGTTTTTTCTCATCCATTGGATCAAAATCAAATAACTCTAATCATATCCTACATTCTCTTCATAAACAAACTCTATTCTTCTTAGGTTAAAGTTGAGCATAAATTATTCTAACTTAAGCATGAAATAAATTTACAATTGATAAACAATTAGATGATGATGTAGTTGTAATCAAGCTTATAATAAAACAAAATAAAACCATAGACAATAACAGAATTGCAGATCAAATGAAAACTGAAATTGCACATAAACATAGCACTGAAATTTTGGACTTACCAATATGTTTAGCTTGATTGAAATTTATATACTGCTATTGATTTGCATGTGCAGATACACACAATATAGCACGGTTGCTGGTTGAACTGATCATTGGAGGAGCTCTAGTGTTTGCGCTAGTTTTGTGGTTCTTACTCTCTTGTTGGGAGCAGAAAAGGATTCGAAATGTCTTCGACAAGGGAACAGGCGGCGCCAGGAGGTTCGAATACCGCAATTTGGCAGCTGCGACCGACCATTTCTCGGAGGATCGCAAGCTTGGGCAGGGCGCCTTTGGGGCAGTGTACAGCGGACACCTGAAGCTGCTGGACCATCAAGTTGCTGTGAAGAAAATTGTGAGGGAGTCCAGCGAAGGACACAAGGACTTCTTCGCCGAAGTCCGCACTATCAGCGAAGCCAAGCACAAGAATCTCGTCAAGTTTTTTGGTTGGTGCTCCCGGGGACACAGCTGGAACATTCTCCGTTTCATGTGCAGCTGTTTCTGGAGTAAGAAGAACAATGAGCTCTTCCTTGTCTATGAATTGATGACGAACGGCAACCTCAACGACTACTTGTACAAAAGCGAGTCATCAGAAGTACTTTCTTGGCAAACAAGGTGACATCGGCGCATTTTAGAAAATATACTATATTCATCCTAACATATATTCTGTTGTTTTCATCTTTTCAAATCGTCTTTGCTTTAAGTTCCCTTTTTAAACTATTATTTTTCACATTTGAAATTAACACTACTAGAGAAACAATTTTTCCACGCGTGCCGAACACATTTTTTCACGTGGGCAAAGCAACTGCTTGTGTTAGCAGAAAAGGTTTTCTTTTTTACACAACCGTGTGCGAAAAAGGGATTTTCGCACGCGAGTACATTATGCTGCCCGTCTGCAAAACTTAAATTGGCAAAATAAATTTCAAAAAAAAAAATAATGCACAAACCCTAGCTCCCATTTCCAACAAACCCTATATCCCATCTCTAGTAATAAGAAAAATACAACACTGCCCCAAAGATGCCATCATTGGTGCCACGCGGATCAACCAGTCCAAGTGCTGGAGCCATGGGATCCAGCCATCGCGAGGCCGCCTGCATGGGATCTTTGGGGCACCCTATCATTCCCGCCGCTCCATCGGCAGTGGTGGATCTAGCTTTGAAGGACCGCCCCTCCATCCCACAACCCTCCGCCGTCATCCTGGTCGCCCTACGCCCCATCGCCCCCACCTCTATGCTGTCGGCGTCGGATCTGGCTGCGGTGGACTGCACCACCCCACCGCCCCTGAGCCCTCCATCATCCTCGTGGTTGCCCTCCGCCCTTGCCACCCCAACCCTTCGCTGTCAGCGATGGATCTACCCTGACAGGGCCGGAGGTGACGGATCCGCTTGACAAGCTGTTGACCCTCGCCGGCCAGTTGCTCCCGTCGCGGCACACCCCACGCCGACCCAGTTCTCCTATCACGGCACGCCCTGCACCCACCGGTGCTTCAATCTTGGCGTTGCCCTGCATCCGCCTACTACTCGCCTCGCTTTGGCCATTAGGAGGGATAGATGGAGGAGAGGAGAGGGGCTGAGAGAGGAGGCGGAGGTGGAGGGAGTAGGACGAGAAGCCGAGGGAGAAAGGGAGTGAGTGAGGAGGACCTAAAAAAGAAAAAAATGGCAAAGGACGTGTGCTCTGAAATGGTTTTCACCTACGGATCTCTTACTAGACCTGACTAGAGACCTGTATGTGAAAAATAGGTTCATTTTCACTGATGAATTGTTACTAGACACCATCCAAATCTTATTACAAACAAAAGTTCTATTAGCCTACCTGCAATCAATTAGAGGTGTTCGTAAAAACCGTTTTTCTAGTGTAATAAGTATAGGAATAAGTTCACTTAGGTCCCTTATATCTTATTACCAGCCACCTAAGATTGGTGTTCTTTTCCTCAAATACATACTGCACCTTACATTCTGTTAGCACGTTTGTCATATTACTAAACGTGTTTCGTGTGAAAATATTATATATGTATAGAAATTGTTTTAAAATGTAAGATAAATATATTTTTCAATTTTATAGAAATTAAAATTTAATTAATCACGTGCTAATGACTTTTTTCTTTTCGTGCCCTCTTCTTTATTAAAGAGGAACACTTCTTAATGCATGCAAGATTTTAGGAACCACTCATATTTAAGTATGCCTCATAATATAATAATTTTTAAAGTTCTAAATTAATATGTATGGAGTTGTACTCAGTTTGTTCGTTTATCAATTATCTTGTGTGTTTTTGCTAACATTACAATGTCTAGGTAAATCATATGCAAAACTTTTTAGGTAATCATATCTTTTTCTTTTTTTTTCCAAATAGGATACACACCGATTTGTCAAAGTTAAATAATGCAGCTTCCACTCAACAAATTTATTAACAAATCATAAATTACAATCCTACCATGGCTTGTCTTAAAAAATCGACAAATACAACATTAAAATCAACTACAATATGTTGCTTCGAAAGTATGGTTTCTGTTGGCATTAAATTAACTAACTAAGAATGTTTATGGCCAATCTATGTAGCTATCTAACTATGATCAAACAGGTACAAAATAGCCAAGGACATTGGATCGGGCCTGCTCTACCTACATCACGAGTGCGACCCACATATCCTGCATAGAGACATCAAACCATGCAATGTACTCCTGGATGAAAATTTCAACGCCAAGCTCGCCGACTTTGGCCTATCGAGGATGGCAAACCAAGACAATGCGACGTTGCTGACAACTGCCATAGGCTCGGAAGGGTACCTTGATCCACAGTGTCTGAAACATGGTAAGGTCCCATTCAAGCGTAGCTCAGACGTGTACAGCTTCGGCATTGCCCTTCTCGAGATCGCCTGTGCAAGGAGGCACAGGGAGCAAATCTGGGACCTATACCGAAGCGGTGGCAATGTTGTCGAGGCGGCGGATACAAGGTTAACCATGGGTGGTGGCCTTGATATGAGGGAGATAGAGCGTGTCATCGTATTGGGGCTCTGGTGCTCTGCTTTGCAGACTCAACACCGACCTTCTATGCGGCAAGCTATGGATGTCCTGGAGCGTGACGGACCGTTGCCTGACCTTAACAGCTTGATCGTCGTCAACACTACTTTGGCATCAACGACAGAGGAAGACGCCTCCAGTGCGCCGGCGGCGGGCAATCGCTATGACTGTGATGAGGCACCACTGCTGATTCCAGGGTAGCAGGGTGAGTGTTATGCTTGTCACGATCGACTGAGTTGGGACACAATACAATGAGCCATGCATGACCAGCACTTCGACAATATCTCGTAAGCAAGCACGCACGCATGCTTGGTTCTTACAAGAGCTGCTGATCGAGTGCTGAGTGCACATTCTCATATTGTCACTTTATCATGTAATTGCCTTTTTTTTTAAAAAAAAAAACTTGCCAAGTAACCTGTGCACTTAGGAGAATACTTCAGATCGGTTCAACTGATCCAATGCAAGTTGAAAAAAACTCGAACGCTCTCCTACTCTACTCTCTAGTCTCTTTTTCTCTGTAACAACACGTGCAGCGTGCGCTAGCTAGCGTGCTTCTCTCTTTCATGTTGCATATGTTCTCTCTTTGCTGTTAGGCCATTCACAGTGCACTGAGGTATCATTCAGCCTCAACCGGCCAACTCGTAGATTCCCCTCCACCTCAGCACATTTGGTTGATTCACCAAACACGGAAAGCCAAAATATGCTACTTGTTCCTCGTCAAAACTACTGCTCTAGGCCCACACAATTTCGTGTCCCGTGTCCTCTGGGAAGAGAGAGAGGATTGGAGGAGAGGAACAACGGTTGATCTTCTCCCCTTTCCCCTTTCCCCTTGCTACAGTAAATCTCCAAAATCCTCCCCTCTGTCCCCTCTTCCACCTTCGATTCCGGCAGTTCGCCACCGGCGAAGCTTGGAGGAGGGGTCCATCCACCTTTACCTACTAGTATAGTGTTGTTAGATTAGTTCCTTGTTGTCAGGTTCTTCCTGCAAGTAGGGTTTTTCCCATGTTAAGTTTTTGCCGGCTAGGTCCCATGGTTGCCGGAGTTGGTGATGGTGACGGTGCTGGTTGGGGCCAGGTTTCGGCTGACGTCAGCGTCGGCCTGAACCTTGAGGACGAGGTTGACAAGTTAGATCCGAAGTCTGAAGAGGAGTGGCAGGAGGAGCAGTCCTGCTGACGCTGCTGTCACGCCCAGAAATTTAACCCATATTTCAAGACTATTATATGTATTAAATCCCTGTCCAGAACCAACCAGGGTACACAATACAACAAGTGATAAACAGATCCAAACATAAATAAAGCGTAAATACATACATAAGAGGCACTGGCGATGGGAGCTCGAGTGAGGGGGACGCTGAGCTGTGGTGAGGCGCTGCGACGCTATAGGTGGCGGCGGCGCGGAGTGGGGTCAACCGGAGAGGCGGAGTCGCGCGGCTAGAGGCAACGAACGCGGCGGCGGCCTTGGGTGCACGGTGGAAACGGTGCTGCGAGGATGGTGTAGGGAGGCGGTGGGGCAGCCGGTGTGCGGCGTGGAGTGGTGAAGCCAGAGGTGACTTTGGCGCAACGCAGAGGCGGCGGAAGCGGCGACGACGCGATGCTGGGGAGCTCCGGCGGGCGGCGGCGGCTCGGCTTGGCGAGGGGAGAGCGGGAGAGGGCGCGGGGAAGACGGGAAATGCGAGAGGAGAGCACGGGGAGGCTCTTTATGGCGCGAGGGAGCAACAGGGAGGTCGAGGAGTGGCGGTTTTGGGGCGGCAACGGCCGGCGACGTGGGCGAAATTGTGGGTGAAATGGAGCTCGCCCGGTGCGATTTTTGGGGGAAATGTGGGGAGAGTGTGGAGGAGGTGGAGGGGTTGCGGTTGCTCTCGGTTTGGATGCGAGCGCGCAAGCGAGAGGTCGTGAAAACGGCGGCGTCGTGGGCGGTATGGCGGCATGGCGTGGTTGGGCTTGGGATGGCTGGGGATTGGGGATGACAGGTGGGGCCCACGGGTCCCACCTGTCGTCCTGAGAAGAGCAGAGGCCGGTTTGAGAGGGGGGGAATAGATTTGGAGGGTGGAGCGAGCTGGGCCGACCCGAGAGAAGGAAGCACGCGGGCCGCGGGAGAGAGAAGGAGGGCTTGAGCTGAAAATTGCCCAAGGGAGGAAGGAGAGATTTATTTGGTTTTTTTTATATTTTAATTGATTAAATGAACTTTGTGCTATTAAAATTACTTCTTGAGCTGCGAAAATTCGCGGAAAATTTCAGAGAGTATATTAGGGCACAAAGAATATTACAAAATATTCCCAGCCAATGATTTTTAAAGGAAATTTTAATTTCCTCAATAATTCACTTGATTAAATTGATTTAATTTTTATTTAAATTCTAGAAAATGCATTATTAAATGATTTTAATCCCGAACGAAAATCGGGGCGTTACAGCTGCCGGATATTCAATCTCTTGCATACCTCAAAGACTAGCGTGGAGAATGAGAAGGAGGCCAAGCTAGAGGAGGCCCGTGTGGAGGAGGTTTGATCCGCTTGTGGTTCGGGTAGATTGGGACGGCGGCGGCGTTCTTGCAGCTCGCCGCCCCCTGTGACGATGCCATTGTGGCTCGGGTCGCCCTCTGCTGTGACGATGTCATTGTTGACCCCACCTCTGATACACCCAAAGCTCAACCTCCACCACCCATCTCCTCAAGATTCAGTGGTTGATAGCCCTCCCAAGCCATATTCCTCAAGCCCTCTTTTGCAGGTCTCCTCTTCCCCAACCTTGCCCGTTGACCCAAGAAGACAATAGTTCTTTCGCCATTAGTTGAACTTTTAACTTCCTTTGAGTGGCTAGATTTGGGTTCCTTCATTCTCGTAGTTTCTTTTTGTAGCAGCTTCCATGCAGGGTTTGTTGTTCGGGTTGAGCTCAAGCTCCTCAGATTCAACGGCGAACTCCATGGTGAATTCTGGTTGAGCCCGGTGAAGCCTACACCAAAATCTACGGCTCAACATCAAATCTCCAATTTGTGCAGTTTCTGTGGAGGCGACTGAAGGGGATTACAGGTTTGTCAAGCAGTCTGCACGCCAAAGGAGACCGAAGGTTGCAATCGTCGCGGCATTGCCGCAGCTCCCTGTCGATTTGCACCTCCTCTGCTGCTTAGTTTCAATACGAAGTTTGTGATCTTAATGCAGTCTTCTCTTCTGCGGTTTTTGTTGGCTCTTTGCCTTAAGCCTTACCCATTGGCGTTGTACAATATATGTTTAAGTTTCAAAAAACAGATGGAGGAGAGGCATGCACACCACTGAGCTCGTCGGAAAGAGAGAGAAAGAGGACCGGGCCAGCGCCGGCGACGGTGGCGCAGCCACCGCGGACGAGGACCGGGCTGACGCCAGCGATGGCGATGCTGCCACCGCGGACGAGGACCGGAAAGGGTGAAGAAGGGGGGAGGGGGAGATGAGAGCTCGAGGGCCACGCCACCGCCGCGGTCGTTGGGGGTGGAGGAGAGGGCAGAGGCGAAGATAGGAGAGGGGAGAGGGAGAGTAGCTCGAGGTCGAGGCTGCGCTCTCAGTCGATCCGCGACGCCGGAGGAGGAGGAGGAGGAGGAGGGGAGGCATGGCGGAGGTGGTGCTCCGACCCAGACGGCCGCCAGCTGACCTCGCCGTCCAACGGTACTACGCCGCCGAGCTTCGGTTAGGGGAGGGGGAGGAGGAGGAGGGGTGGTGTTCCAGCGAGTGTTAGGCCGCACCACCGTCGCTGCTCGGCCCGGCGCCGTCTCCGCCCGGCTCTCTGTGGGGGAGATAGAGGGCTGAAATTTTTACATTTTGGTCCTTTTTGAAAACTTATTCTACAAATAGACCCCTGGGAAAACTTAAACCAGAAATGGTCCTTTTTGGGGCGCCAGAGTGGCTGGCGCCGTACCCCAACATGGCGGCGCCAGCCACATTGGCGCCGCGCCCGTGCCACCGTGGCACTAGGGCTGTCGTGGAGGTGCTGACTGGGCAGAATGGGGGCACCAGCCACACTGTTTGCTCTGATTCTTGAGGGGAAAGATAGAGGAGGATGTGGGGATAAAAACCCCTCAAAAATCCAGAAGAAACGGGGCCGGATTGGAGCGGATTTGAGAGGAGAAGGGGGCGGCTCGGGCTCGACTAGGCCGGCCGGCCGGAGGTTGAAGAAGCAACCGACATGTGGGTCCCACATGTCGTGACCCGAGGAGGAGGGGGTGGGCGGCGTCGCTGGCCGGCTTGGGCCGGTTCGCCGCGCGAGAAAGAAGAGTTGGCCGAAATCGCCCAATCAGGATCCGTAGATACCCGACCACTTCCGCGACTG